GTGGCCCTTCCGCCAAGCCAAAAGTCACAATTCCACTATCAAACTCGTTATATAATGCTTATGAGGGGAAAAAGGTGGGTACTTTTGCCCACCTCAGAGCCCCTTTTTTGTTGGGGTACAACCTCCAGGTGGAGCTTTATTCATATTTACTAGGGCAAAGCTTTAAGCAGCTGAAAGGGAAGTCGGCTTTACCTCTCATTATTAATAACTTAATTAAACAAACAAACTACATTATCAAAATATCCTTTGAAAAAATTTGTTTCTAGCCACTATGAGGAGAGCATCGAGTTAATAATAAATTCACTTTAAGTCGTAAAATTCATGAAAATTCCGACTATTTCCTTTGGAATGTAGTTGGTATAATCCCTCCAATTGTAGCAGGTTGTTAGACGAAACAGGAGTGTGCGGACAAGTAAATTTTCTCTTTGGAAAATAACAAATTTGTTCATTAAAACAAAAAGTTAATTTTCGAATAGGTAAAATAGGGGACACAACAATTATAGTTCGTGAACCTCATAAAACCGTGGCCTTGCCTAAGCCTATTAGATGTTTATCTAGATGCTACTTGTATGTATGAATGGAAATTTAATTGTTTTTCCTTCACTTTTAATGTACAATTCTCACGACAATAACAAATGAATCTGGTGGTGTTTAGGACATCTTGTTCACGTAAAAATCCACGTTTAGGCGTTGGCTTGAGGACTGGGTGGCTCAGCCTTGGGCGTAGGGACACTAAGGGGTCTGAAGGGGGTAATGCACCACTAGTCGCCTAGCCATCAAAAATTAGTATAAATGACGTTTTTGTGAGACAAATGACGAAAATGATGTAGCACTCTGCCTCGTTTCCGAAGATGAGGGAAGTTACAATACTCAGCCAGAATATGGATTGCCGTCATAAAGAATGTCTGGTGGAGTGCTGGCGTGACATGAAGGCCATGCCGCCCATCAGAAATACGAAGGCGGAGATTCCAGCATCCTAGCCACCAAAACGAAGAGGTAGACAAATGATCGAGATAATGCATAGTTTCCCTCTCTTTTCGAGGGTAGTCCCCTGAGTTCCCATTGATTAAACTCTCGCGTCAATCATCACAATGTAATCAGTGGAGGAGGAAAAACATCCACGAGCCAACCGCGCCACTCATCGGATTCCCGTTCATCAAAGGCGTACTTGACCTCAACGTCACCGATCTATTTTGCAAATTCTACTGTTTAGGGAGTGGATTTCGAGAGAGAAGAATGTACTGTCCACCAGGCGTGTCTATCACTGACATCACTGAACCCAAAGCAGAGTCGTTTGGTAAAGGATGGGATTTTGCTCAGTTCCATGGGGTAGGGTTTCGTGTATATTCCACCTTGCCAATTTTTCAATTCATTGCTACCCAACCATATCCATCTGGATTCCATCCAGCTAGTAGGTAGGTTAAGGAGGTCTTGAGTGTTCACTTAATTGACATCTTTACACAGATATCGTAGACAGCTCCGTAGCAAACTTTTTGAGCTGATTCACGACTAGCGTCTCTACAGCTGGTGATGCCATTCCTTCAAATTACAGGATTGCAGCAGTTGCCGAAGGTGGGCGTCTGCTAAGGTTATTGTAAGGCCGCACTAAGCAGGTGTCGCTTATTATCAGATCCGCTTTCCGCTGGCACCGATGCAGAGCCTCGAGACTTCCCTAAAGGCAAGAGAAATCATACTACAAGGACAAAAATGTAGTACCGTCGCACAGAAGGTCTGGGAGGCTACTGACACGGTCTGAAGACCACCGCACCCGCCGGAAGTACAATGGCGGAGTTTTAAACAAACAATCTAAGCATTGCAGTTGAGCCACTTTATTGTTAAGCCTGGAGTACTGGCTACAATTCAAAACACATTCCTTTTAACGAGAACATAGATCTTAAGTGTTTTAAGATTTCTTTGAGTAAAGGCATGGAATGCTGGGACCATAAATTTGATGACAGAATTTTACTTTATAAAGGCGTTTTAAGATTTAAAAGAAGAGGCAAACTTTGGGAAAAGGGCACTTAAGCATTTCTTGGCTATTAACAAAGGCGCATACACAACCGAGGGTCTTCAGAGACTGGAGAGTCCACACAGTCAATTCTATAAAACCACCGGAGTAAAGGCGTTAGCAAAACGCATTCATTAGGCAAGCAAAAGCTGTCTTATTATCTGCAACTATATCAGAAAGATTTTTTGTGGAATTTAAATACTGCTTAGCTACTAGATGCCTTACCTACTCATTTAAGTACTGAGCAAGTACAAGTAGCATAAGTAAGCAGTATCTATCTACAAAACAAAGCAACAAGTACTTATTGGAACTGCCCAACCACTTAGCTGAACAGCAACAATTGTACCTAGGAGTTTTTTGTCTTAAGAGAATATCATAGAGTAAGAGAAAAAAAGTAGACAAAAAAAAACTAAAAAGCGATGTGTTTTACGCTTAACCCGCCAGTTAGGCGTCTTACATAAGTTCCTAATGGCTTTTTCAGAAGAATCTTTGCTTTTACCAAATTCCTTTTGACAACCTCTGCCTCTTCTTATTCCTGGCCTTGGAATAAATGTCTTGGCCCGGTGGAAAAATGCTCTACGGTCTGTAGAAGTCTTCTTCGTTTGTTTGTTACAGATTTTGGGACAATTTGAACTCCTGTTGAGATTGTTTGCTTCTGTAGGAAGATTTTAAAGTAATTTAACCTTTTATAATTTAAAAAGATTTGTAATTATTTGATAATTCAATGAGTTGCCAAGTCTAATTACAGTGATTAATTAGGTTTCTTAGGTATCATTTTGTTGTCAAACAGTGTGATGTCTCTCTACCTTTCTAGGCTTCTGTTGCGTTCGTGATGCCGCAAAACTACATCACAGTTTTTGTACACCTATTTATTCTCCCATGAAAGATGGCAGTGATAAAAGTTACTAGCCTTATAGGTTCCACAGCAAGTACATCCGGTGAGTGCGTCCGAACCTGGGGAGCAGGAATAACTTCAATAAACCAGTGGTGACTTTGTGGACATTCCTAGTACAGTTGTTGACTACAGGATAAGGCATATGTCTGAAACTATGACAACTGTGTATGCTATTGCTTGTAGCCAAGTCTCACTACTGAAAGCCACTAGAGTGAGAGATGTGCACGTTGTAGAAGGTGATACGGATTTGAGTGCTACCTTTTAAATTAATTCTTTGCTAAGATAATTTGGTTTTGAAGAAAGCGATACCCAAGACTTCTGACAGCGGTGAAATGGATGTAATTTCTTCCACGGTCCGAAGCAGAAATATGGCTATGGGGACAGCTGAAGTCAAGACCAAAAACACTGAGTAGTCAAATACTGCCGCCTTAACATAATCCTTTATTATTTAATCCTCAAGCTGGAATAAGTCCCTTTCTCTTCTAGTATGAATTAATACATCCTCAGGAATAACTAGAGGGAAAATTTCAAGCAAAGTTCTCCAGTCTTCACTTATTGGGTTATAAAAGAAGGTAAATCTCACTATGCTGATTTGAGGAGCTCATTTCCAAAGCTCTCTCATCATTTCACATGCAAACCCCTCCATAAAACCGGAGGTTGGATTGGCCGCCGACAATTACCCAAAGGTCATCTAGTTTAACAAAAGTGGTGCTGAAATTTTAGAAAAGGATAAGGAAGATAATTGGGTGATTTTACAAAAAAAACATTAGGACTAGTTATAATTATAAATATTAAAGATAAATAATAGTTGCTGCAAATCTAGTATTCTCTCTGAATGTCCTTGTGTGCAGAACTAGCAGATTGCACTTTTTGCTTTTACTTTTCTGAGAATTTGAGGCAAAATAAAATACTGTCCTCGCTTTTTGAAATATAGACACCGTTTTTAATCGACAAACATACATAAATAATCGGTTTTGTAGGACCAGTTTTTTTTCATTTTTGAGAAATATCTAAGGAACTATTCCTAATTATGGCCTAAAAAACCTTTTAAAGTTAGTCAAAAATAGCCATTTTAGAATAATGTGTTTGCTTGATTACATCCTTTAGCTCCCTTGCGGTCAATTTTCAGCGCCTCACGGTCGAGTATTTGCTGCCGATTCCCAAGGCCGAGGAGAGGAGCACCCATTCCCATAAGGCTTCGGGTAACGCAAAATCCCCCTTATTACATCATGTAAGATGACTTCTTCTAGCCAGTTTCTACGAATCATAGAGAAGAAAGAAAGTTGACTTAATACACTAAAAAGAGGCAGTAATTATATCCCCTTTAATTCATTATTTGTTTAGCCCTTCGTTTTGGTTACATAGGGATTGAAGACGCCGTGACTGCACCCTTTTTGGTCGGCATGGCCTCTGGACCACGGCAGTAGAGCTTCCAGCCCTACTGTACGCCTGCAATGCAATTTCTACTCCAGGATCGCGACTTATTCGAATTCAGGAAAGACGCGTGGTGCATTAATAAAATTCACACTTAGCATAAATCCATAAATTTGTTGGGTTGATGGAATAAACCCTTCTCATCTCTCGATTTCACTATGTCTATCCACATTCCCTCATTGGTTAATTGTGGCTCCAAAAGATACCTTTGTAAATAGTGCTAAAAATGCTTTTTTAGACGCATGATTATTTAAGACTTGTATTACTAATAAAAAAGACAATTTTCTTCTTTTTTTGCAAGATAGCATCATTTGATATAAACTTTGGCCAATTCTTGACTATGCAAGATTTGAAAATTATTTTGGACTTTGAAACATGGATGTTACCTTCCTCTTTATTTGCAAAAATTTTGGTATATTTTCTATTGCATGCGTCCTTTTTTTGTTGCTTTCACTTTTTGCCAGTGGGAAGCACAGCATAGGACGCACCGCTGCACTCCCATTGGCTCGACGTGCACATTGACCAATGGGTAGGCAGGCAGCGCCACTCGACTTGAGGCCTTACCGACAATGCTATCACACCTCGCCCGCGCTGGGATTATGCCAAAGGCCAGGTTTGACTCATGAGAGCGTACACATGATGACCCCGTGGATTAGTTGTATAATGGCACTGATTTTGGGTTCTCTAAGTGTCTGCCATTGCACCACACCATCGTCACCACCACCGCCACTGGAGAGAGAGCTTGCGATGCATCAAAGCACTTCTCAGAAATCGGTAAACACGCAGGTTGTAGGTGAGCAACCGTTCGGTTCATTTTTTTACCTTAATTTCCACATTTTGACACACACACTCACATCCTTATCCATTTAAAATCCAAATGTGAAAGTAAATGGAGTTATTCAAATCTTCCAATCACTTAAATGCACTATAGTTGAATAATTCTCTTTTTTTCACTAACTTTCTTTTAAGCTAATAAGATTTTACTTTTCAAATAAGAAAATATAAATCATGTGCAGTGGTTCTCGGTTCCTCTCCCTCTCCCTCACTCTCGCCGAATGCGCACTACCTGGAGGCGGGATTGTTCCCAATGACGCAAATCAAAACAGTACCAGAGGCTAAATAAGGCATCTCACTTTCACTTCAGAGGAATGCTTTAGAGTGAGGAACCATAAATGAAGGCGCGGTGGAGTGAAGACAAACCACAATGAGACAATTCGGTTGTTTATGGGAGGTACCGCAGAATTTTCCACAATTCTGCAGTACAAAATCTATAAAAGCAACCACCTCTAGATATTACTTTATCTTGTAAAGGTAAAAAAGCATACTTCTTCACGGTAAAAGATTGTGCCTCAAAATTGGACAATTATTTTGTGGGTATATTTGGAGACGAAAACAAGAGATGACGGCAAAATAAAAGGTCATAAGTTAATTTGTTGGGGACATTATTTGTAATCAGGGAGAGTCTTGAAAACAAAAGCGCTAAAAAAGGTAGCGCTTCTTTGTGGCTTTCAGTAAACCATTAAAATTCGGTGGAGTGGGTCATTTTCTGGTGGATCGTTGCCATCTATCACCCAGTGTCTTCGCTGCGGGCACACGTGGAAGGTTATTTAGTGTCCTCGCCACGGATGCTCTTTAAAGCAGCTGTAAACGGCCTGGCTGAGACATTTCAGGGAGTGAAGTCCAAAAAAAAATTTTTGAGTCTTCCAGGTAAATTCACCCCTAACCCGCGCCAGTGGCATAAACTCTTCCATTGAAGAACGGTGGCCTGATATGCGTCTTAGTAATTAAAAAAAGGCCTAACCTGCCATTTTTCTGCGAAATAAAAAATTTTTACACTTAAATATAGCAGAGGGAATTTGATGTAAAGACTTTCAAAAGTATTTCACCTACTTGGCTCCTACCGAAGTCGGTTGCCTAAGCAAGCAGGTAATGCGCAAGATCTAGGATATTTTTACTGATCTATGTCCCATTTAGACATTTTCGTGGCCATCTGCTTAACTGATGATAAAAAACACTATGAGTTTAAAAATTTGCTCCACATGGCTGCTCCATGCTTCCCACCATACCCTTTCTGAACTTAACAATATACATGCTACTTACTTCAACAGTAGCATTTAGTTTTCCTTTAAAAAGTGTAAATATTTTCTTTTTCGACAATTTTTTATTTAATTTTTAAACCCAAAGCTTATTGTTTTTATTTAAAACCCACTCCTTGGCACCCAATCTCAGAAAATGTGATTTCTGTTGACAAGTAGGTTCTAGAATTAGTAACTAGAGTTAAGTTATATCTTGAAAAAGTTACCCATACTATTGTTCATTAAAATATTTATTAATAGGCTATAAGCGAAAAGAATTAAAAACATTCGACAGAAATTATTGTATGACTTTTCAGACCCTCCCAACAATCATCCCGATTATCGCGATGACAAGGGTGTCACAAAAGTCTACTTTGACAATGAGGCTCCTTTGAAAATCAACTGTACCTACCCCAAAACCCACAGACCTGTAAGTCACAGGGGCAAACCTAATTATCAAACCAGTACAGGCACATTTTTAATGGCACATAATTCTTGTCCCAGCAACCACTTTACCCTTCCATCCACGGACCTAGATCGGGGAGGAGAAGGCGGACCGCCACAAATTTCACTCAGTTTCTGACCGTTAAAACTTAGTGATGCACGAAGCAAACTATAGCCCGCACGCACTTTTTGCTGGTCACCTTTCGGTGGAGCACTTCGGCTAAACGCCAAGTCACTGTGATAAATGAAATCTCTTTACATCCCTTGGCTGACTGCTTTTGTTTTCTAACATGGCTGTTTGGTCTCACCTTTTTAATTGTCTAGCGCATTTGTTGCAGAAAATTGGCTTTTTTTTCTTGCTTAGAATTTTTTCACCCTTTTTCGCTCACCATTTGTGCAGCATTGCGTGTTCCTGCTGCACCAACTTGGTGGCCAGAATGCTCAAGCGGGAGCGATTTCGCAGATAAAATGCAAATGATGTTACCCCTGTTTTTTCCTTTAAAAAAAGCCAAAAGTTGTTTTTGAAAAGCCAAATTGACGTTTTAAAGGTTGCAATTTGGGTCATTTGTATGTGCAGGTAATATGGGAACGCACTGACCTCATCTATCCCCTAGCCGTCGGCACCCACATCTTCTCCCCGGATCCTCGAATCAGTGTCCACTATCCCCACGAGACGTTGAGTCAGATAATGATTGTCAACGCAACCAAAGACGATGCCAAGAGGTATCGCTGTCAAAGCAGTCCACAAAAACCGCCAAAATGTGCCAGTCACATGTGTGTGGAGAAGAATGAGGCCTTTGAGCAAACCTTTCGTGCTATCTATGGTGAGAGTTGTTCACTGGTCCCATATTTGTGGGACCAAAACCCATTTTAGGGCATTATTTGATCCACTAAGTAAGCCTAGATCCGAGGCAAAACTTTCCCTAGTTTAAGGTAACCTTGGAAAGGGGAAGATTCATTCATCCTACCCCTATTTTAAGAAATCAGCTAGTGAGGTTTTCGCACCGTTCTTCCTCATTTCTCCTAAAAACTTGCATTTAAGCTTGTGATGACCTAATCAAGGTCAATTCATCCATTTTAGGCATAAAACCATCTACAAAGATGCAAGCGATGGCCTCTGATGCATCCACGTTGAATGTCAAGTCGTCAGGTGGGTTTTTTACAAGTACCTTAAATACTACTTAATTGCCTACTGAAATCGACTGGTCTCCTTGATTTACTAAAAAATTGTCTCAGACTTAACCGTTTCAGGTCCTTAAGCCTGTCATTACTCCCTCCACAACTAGAATGTTCTTGTTTGGGCAAAATCACTCTTGATGTGAAAGGTATTGCATTTCCGGAGAAAAAGTCTGTTCACTCAGAATGTTGAACGGTGCATTTCAGCATCACTTATTCATGCCTTGAGAAAGGGAAATTTTTTCACTGATGCTAACTAATTATGAGAAAAATTGCCTTCATTTATTATATTTTTTCTCACCTTTTGCCTTATTGGCAAAAAAATATCTATTTTTTTGTTCCTTTTCCAATACAAAAATTGTTTTTAAGAGGGTAAGCAGGCAAAAGTTCAGGTTAACTTATATTTTGAGAAAATTGGTATCACTGTATTTTTTGACTTAAGCGGTGCTTATAGTGACACAAGGGTTCCCTAAAGACCTACTGGGGCAGAATATGTATTGTTGAGCTAGAGAAGGGCTGCGGGAATCTACTGGTCCAGCCCAGCGGAGGTAGAATGACGTAGCCCCAAAGTGATAGCTAACAAAACGGTCAAAGTATTACAGTACAATTAAACTCAACGCTTAAAATGGTGTCAAATAAAAAAGGAAACTATTTACCTTTACTGTGAATCCTCGCATAACTTTAAAGGTCGCAAATGCCTTCCCATTTCAGTAAGAGAGAGCTGCCTTCATGCGTCACGGAGAGCAGTCAAAATTACACAAAACGTAGTCAAAATAGAGGCTAATCTGGAAAGTTTCTAGGACGAAACCCTCGTTACTTGGGCTTAAAGCCTGATGGCCTTCTCAAAATGTCCTATTTACAGGTGTTAAGGGCAGAGGTAGTGCGCAATTTTTCCTTCCCCTTAAATATTTGTTCACCTCCAAAAGGCAAACCTCGAGGCTTAATATCTGCAAACAGTAAAATATTTACAAACAAGAGGTAAATTTATAAGCCGAAATGTTTAAATTCCATGCACAATTACTCTTTTCCCCTCAAGTTTCTTTTTTGAAACTTGTTCGGTTACGATTGGTCGGATTCTTTAAGAATGACCTTGACACCATCCAATCGGCTGTCGGTCATATTTCCCAGGATTTTTGTGCTATTCCACGGATTTACTGCAATATTTTAAAAGAAAAACTTGTTTGTTTAATACTTTATTCACCCGATCATAAATACATGGTCATGGTCAAGGTTCTGAGGGGATCAGTGAGTTCCAAAGATGAAAGTGCGGACGTTGGTCGTGGAATATGCAACCCTTAAAGTCAGTAAAAATCCACTCAGAAGCAGAAAAGTTTCCTGTTTTGTTTTATTAATCAAGCTTAGCTTCCTTTAAAAACCTTTAATCGGAACTTGTTAAGCAAAGTAACTTAACCCTTTATGCACCTTCGAAAAATTACCTATCGAAGTTGCGCTCCTTTTTACTTAGGTAACTTAAAGAAGGGATAAGTAGGCCTTATAAATGACCACCAAAAGTGTATCTTGTCTTAGTTGATTAGTTGGAGAGAAAGGTGATGCGATGTGGGGCAGCAGAGGAGGTGGTGATGGAAAGCGTGTGGACAACACCCGACCACACACACACATCAGGGGCGACAGTCCAGATTGCCACCTTGTTGGCCAAAAACTTTTTGTCTGTCAATAAAAAGCTGATAACAAACCTGTTCTAATTTGGATACAATGATTTTATTTGCCTGGTTCAGAGTGGGTAATTGAGGATACGCTTGCAGGTCAATGGATGAAGGCAATTTTTCGCACAAAAACCGGAAAAGTCGAAGTTAAAATAAATGACAATCTTATGAAATTTTGCATGATTTGTTAGTTTTTTCTGCATATTCTGCTATTAGCCACCCTTGAGCCTGGAAACTTCTTTTTTTCATTCATTCCGGGTGTCAAGGGCTACTCAGTCCTCATTCCAACTTCTGGTCTGAATAGATACTACTCATTTAGCGATACGGACGATTGGCTCTCTCTAAATTCCCGTTTCTTTTTGTGTAAAAAAGAACTAGAAAACTGAAGTAATTTAAATCAGCCTACAAGCACCTATACATCCAAGTGAGTTTCCTAATTAACTTAAAACTTTAGCAAATGAGGCAACAGGCTTTCCCCTTTTCCACCCCCTATCACCTCTTGAAATAACGCAGTAGGCTAAGGCTAAAGGAGATCGCCTTTGGCAGGAGGAACAATGGGTAATTACTTGCAGATCACAAACAGAGAAGGCTTTGACACTCATTTAAAGGTCATATTTGTCTCATGCCGCAGTTTACAATTTGGGAGACTATAATACCCAACATCTGCTTAACGGGTAGAGGTTTTTAAACATGATTCTCTCAAAGCTGTCCTACGCGCATTGTAAGGCCAGTTTCTAGGGCTCGTAATATATCATTTGTAAGGGATAAAGGCAGCGAGTGTGGCCCTTTTGTTTTTGACTAAAAGTGCTTTTTCTTATGCGGAATTTTTTGATAAACCTTTCAGTTTCCCACTGTTTGCTGTCCTTCAGTAAATATCCAAATTTGCACGTACCTTATACCACGAAATAAAGATGCTTTACCGGGATAGATAGCATTTCCAATGGTGTATTACTCCAACTAATTACTAAATAAGTTTGTTGCAAATTTCTACTGCCAAAGAGGCATTTTGATTGAACGGATTAGGTGATTGGCTGGCAAGAGAATCGAAGGTGGCCATTTGATTGGCCAACAAATCAATAATTTAACACAATTTTTTTATTTTCCCTAAAATTCGTTACATTTTGCAAAATTCTAAAATTGACCAATAAAATAGTATTACCTTGACAGCCTGAACTTTTTTTAACACAATAAAAAGATTTTGTATTTTTGTCCTCAGATTTAACTTTTCGTCACCATTTAACACGTGTCATTTAGAAGATTGTGCAATTTATAGTAATCTACCACCAAATACAAATTGCTTAAAAGTTGTTAAGTTTAGAGGTGTTTTAGGTCCTTTATTCGCATCTTAGGCATCATTTGACCTGTCTTTAAAATGCGCGCCACTTAGCATGGAATTATTTCCCCTCTTAACCGAACACTCTCTGTAATTCAGCATCTTGCTTTACCTTTAAACCGTTAGGGTCCCCAAATTTTCTCGTTTCAAATGGGAATGGGGTTTGACTGTGCTTGGGCGATTCATGGACCACATAATTTAAGCATGACGCAGTACACAGAGCAAGCCGCATTCCATTAGTTCATTTAGTAAATATTTCAATTTAAAAGTGGCACTCTATTTCTAAGATTCATGGATAGCAGTACGTCTTTCTTACTACAAACAGTCACATCCGCACCTTTTTCCCTTTGTTTGTGGGTCATTCACAATGATACCTGGCATTTGACAATTTTCACTTCACATTCGCAGAGGAAAGAGCGCAATTTTTAACTCGTTTATAAAATGGTAAAGGAGATAATTGCCTTTTAAAGCGATCTTTTGACTCCACAAAGGGGACTAAAAGATACCCTAAACGGCTTACAAAACCAGTCATCAGGTGCGATTTGCTGTCGCGTTTTTAGACCCATTCAATCCATCAAACTCCCTGGGTGTTTAATTGGACATTAGCTGTGTGTGTGAGGCAAAAGAACAAAATAAAATCAGACAACTGTTCGCTCAAACTGGGATACTTAACTTTGAGTAAATTGTAATTTGCATGCTCAAACTAACCACAAGGAAGGTCACGCGACACCGAACTAAAGCGATTTTGGCCTTTTCTTTATCCTCTTGCGATTGAAACACTGGCTAGGCTTTATGGAAAGGCAAGTCTTACTTTTATGTCCCTACACCAGTAAACTCTCAAAATAGGGTAAAAAAATCATGTTTCTTGTTTTGTTTTACCGCTCAAGATGTGTTTATTTCTAAGGTTTTACATTAGACTGCTTAAAAATGACAATAAAGTGTCAAAATATCTTTGTGAGGGAAAAATTAGATTCTTAGACTATTTTAAGGTTGACATGATTTATTATTCATAGACGAGATTTTGGCCGAATTAATCTCCCTTAAACTTCTTTTTACAGTGACTATCTCGGGTCCCCAAATGGCTTTTTACGGGATGCCGCTGGAACTCATCTGCCGGGCAAATTTCTCCTCACCCGAGGCCAAACGTGATCCACTGATAAGTTTAGAATGGTACCACAATGGCGTTCGTCGACGACCTAGTCGAGTTCAATCAGGTGGTACTTTCATCTCATCTCGATGGGTGGACTCAAATCTACTTGAATCGCGTCTCCTTATCACCTGGATCTCTGAATTGGAGGCTGGAAGGTGGAACTGCGTTGAACGCAGTCATATAAACAGGCGGAGATTGGTGAATGACCCCGTACCAACGCCTTCCATGTCTTTCGATCAACTGAACCTCCAGATTATGGGTAAGCATCTGACGCTATCTTAAGGCACTACCAAAAGTAATTTTGGATACTAAATCTACTTATTTTCTGTACCGAACATAAAAAGACATTAAATAATTTCTTTTAAATGCAGGGGTAAAAGAAATATTTATTACCTTTCAATTCCCAATTTTTTGTTCTTGCAAGGGCATAGGCAATGCCCTTTATAGAAACGAATGCCTGAGATTTCATTAATTACATTTACAGTAGCTAATTCTTGGCTAATCAGTCCAGAATTAAAAAGACCTAATAATATCCTTTTGTTGTAAAAAAGGGAGCAAATCCTAAATGGTTAATTTACCTCACTTACAAGACGTAGTAAATTCATTCAATGCGTTTCGCTTTCAGCATCACCATTAAAGAATATTTTGCTTCTTCGACTAAAAACACAGCATAGAATGTCAGTGTTTTGCAACTTGTATAAAAATAAAAAATAGCTTGTACAAACATTGAAGGCTTTGAGATCGGAAACCAGAAGTTTTTGTTTGGCTGTACTGCAAAGCAGTGGCAAAAGTTAGGACTGTTTTGAAAAAGGCCTTGAAAGATAACACAATGAAAACTCCAAAAATATTAAACCATTTGAAAAGTAATTTAACTGTTGTTTTCGTTTGAAATGCAGCAGACTATGTGCGATTCTGTTTTTGACCTACTAAATGCACCCAGCAAAACACCATCCTCAATTTCAGCTTTTCTTTGATCAGATAAACTATCAAATAAATGACGAATGATTGTCACTCACTTAAATTTAAAAAACGTATGCACAGCCACTGTAGCGCCTTTGCGAATTTTCGATAAGTCGGTCTGAGGGTGCACTGAGGAGTTTGGTGATGTTTATTACCCCCATCCGTCAAATTGCTGTCAAGACGTTAACTCTGTAATTTGTGTGAAAATACTTATGCAGCAAGGCTTTAGTTACCGCATTTATTTGAAATAATTGCTTTTGCATAACAAATTTCAACACGCACTACCTCATTAAATTTGGTAGATCACTGGCGATTTACTAATTAATATAGCTATGGCAGAAAAGTTGATAAGCCTCCTGACACCATTTAAACAATTTATTTTACTTTTATCAGGCATTTTTTTGCTAAAAACTGCCGTTTATTTTATATCTTTAGACGAAAAAGTGCTTTTCCACTAAAAAAACTGTCAAACCTAACCCGAAAAGGCCCATGCATTTTTCATTTGTTGCCTCAGCAGGCGCTTTGTTTAGAGGATAAATTTGCTTATCGCTGTACAAGTGAAAAAACGTGAGTTGCTTATTCAAAATACTAAATGGATTTGTAATAAAATTCCCAAAATATGTCGGCAACGATGGCTAGCATGTTATCAAACTTCAACGCTTTCAAAGGCAATTGTTTATGGTTTAATGATCACATTCTACCGAATGCACAAATTGGGTGATTATGCCATTATGTCCGATAACCTGACAATAGCATACGCTCAAACTTTAGAACTTTTAACTAATGAATAGCCTTGGAGTTATTCACAGCTACCCATGTCTATCAGCTAACAATGTGTGGGAGGTAGACGAATACAAGACCACTGCAAACGTAAAATTTTTAGACTTTAAGAAAACAAGGGTTTTCCCTAGCCCCAATTTATCTGCATAGAGAAATGTTAAAGGTTCACTACCTTATCTACTTCCTTAAGGATAGGATTCTTTCAAATCCACGAAAATATCCTAAAAACACATACCCTTGTGTCATGTGATGACTAGGTTTTTAAGGTGAAAAGGAGCAAGACTAGCATTGATTGAGTCTATTCTATGTATGCATCCGGTGAAGCTGATACCTTTTACACATTCTAGTCTTAACGTGCAAAGATTTCAGACCTAATGCTGAGCTGGTAAAAAAATAATAAGGATATTTTTCCAGAGATTTAAAGGACCATTCTGAGGTTTTAAACTTAGTTTTGCTTGCTAGACGTAAAGATGAGTAGTACAAGACTCAAAACTTTGAGCACGTTATGTAACGACTCAAAAATTGAATGCATCTAACCTCTCCGAGTTTTGGATCACCTAAAACTGGTGTGCTAGTGGTGAGGAAGTGATACCAGTTGAAAAATATATTGGAAGAAATACGAGTATACAGTAATAGTATGCAAGTGCTTAGTGGAAATCGGGTCTCTCTTTTGGTATTTAATATTGACTGCCTGACTGACAAAGTGGCTGATTATACTCCAAAATACTCGACATTTTTGGATCTGCTAAATCGACAAAGCTTCGCAGTTTGTGCTCACCAATGCTAAATACAATCAATACATAGATATTATTATTAAATATCTTAGCCAAACAGAAATTAACCTTGATAAGTAACATCAGTAAGAAGGAGCGCTAAGAGATGCTTATACAGATCGCCCACGAGAATGTAATGCGAAATCGTTCGGTTTTTCCATAATTCTTGTCTATTTTAGTAAAGCAAAACAAAAGAGGCAAAAACAAACTCAAGTTAATTTTTTAAAGGCGGTTCTTTACATCTCTTGGGCAATATTAATCCGGATACTTTGCCATGCTCCAGACACACTAAGTAGTGAAATCGGAACCGCTGTTTTCTTATCTTTACACAGTAGAAAAGTAAAAAAACTGTGTGCACATCCCTTGCTTTCTACACGAGCTTGATTATTTATAAAGAGGTAACGAATAAGTTGTTTTAACAACTGACACAATACATCACATTGACCTTCAAGGTGGTGGGAATTCTTTATCAACATTTAATCGTAAATCAAAATTTATATGCACCGTATGGCAAAATTAAAGTGCGTATTCACGTCAGCGTCCGTTAAAGTATCTTTTGTATGCCCTCCCTCTTACAGTCCCCCTTTAACGTACCCTTCGGTGCCAATGCTCTATTACTTACTTCAAAATGGGGCAATTTTTTGAAGGGAAAGGACCCTAATGCTCTTCTCAAAATTTATACTAGTTAGTTACTTGAGTTAACTTTTTTATGGATAAAACCATCTTTGTATGACTCTTCCTTTCTCAAAATTTCACCAAACAATGCTCCTGTAATCTATCTCTTGCCTTTTGTTTGGATATAATACAACGCAAAAGTGGGCATTTTTCACGATCGAATAAGTGATTAATGCATTGTTACCGAGCAAAAAAGAAAAATAAAGTAACCTTTTTTGGGTGAAAATTAAGGTACTGGAATAAAAATATTGTACTATGGATCTTGCATTGATAAATGGTGATCAAGCCACCTTTTTTTCGGTATTCTTTTTAAAGGCTCTTTAGTTCAGGTGAACACTTATTATGCCTCTTAAATCTCTGGTTGTGAGTCATGGTAGCAAAAAAAGAACTTACAACACTTCCATGCAGAAGAGATTTTACCACAATCTGAAACCATGCTACAAAGTGGAAACATAAAATGCGCAGACTTAAATACCTGTCTGGTTTAACACTATTTGGACCATTTCGCCTGTTAAGTGTCGTTTCTTGGGGCTCTTTAACATCGACCATCACAACGCTCTAGAAACTATGTAGTTTTCAACAGCCTGGTTTTAAAATTTTCTTTGCAGTGCGACTATTGCTCTCAATGCAGCTTATGCATCTCGATGAATCTATACCATCCGATGGGAGCATCACAAACGCCATTGGTTGGTAGCGAGGAAATTAGTCTGAGGGCAGAGCTGGTTAATGGAAGAGTGGATTTAAAATTATTTTACGAGATTGGCGTTTCACGCCTCCTCCTCTTCCTCCCTCTCCACTCTGTTTGCATCCCCATGCTACCCAGTCTTCTATTTAGACTCCTTCTAGTTAGTAGAGTTGTGGGAGAGGTGTCGTTTGTAGTTGCTGACCTCATTCCTGTCGGGAGTCTTCACATATTCATCCATCCATCGCAGAAGTCGCGACGCGACCTTATTTTCAGTTACAGAAATTAGGAGTGCTGTCCTTCGGACCGTGTTTGCTTGTGCTTTGAGTCTTTTAAAAGCCATAATATGTCCAAATAACATGGAAAAATATACTATTAACTTGCAATAAAGCTGGGAGACTACCATCCAGCAGAGTGGGTGTACAGTCTGCTGAGTCTGAAGTGTCCAGGTGGTTTGACATAAAGCTATATTTCACCAAACAATTTGCAACCACTCATTTTGGACAATTTTGATGCCTTTACCAGGCTTTTGATTCACAGGTGTAGGTACCTCGTAACCATCAGCTGCCCCTACCATCCTGATTGTCTCCGCCATGCCTAGAACTATCGCAGGGGCATCTAACCAACTTTTCATGCTGTGAATAACGTAAACCAGGCAATAGCCGTCTCATCCATTGCGAGTAGCGTCAAAATGATTTTGGTACTGCTGGTGTCTGGTCTGTCAACTAATTTACGACGTTTAAAACTCCCTCCCTCCTCCCCATTCCGCCTCTTGAAAAATGGAATTAAAAAGACCAATGTCTCACCCATTCTGGTTTACTAATTATGAAAAGAGAGATGTTTTAAAAATCATCAAGTAAGGCATTCCTCAGGTTTTCAAAATTACCACCAGTTGGAATTACTTCAAGAATTTAGGGGTTCTGCAAAACCGTTATTTTTGTAATTAACTTCTGTAAGTCTCTCCACAAGGTGCTGTATTCAACGATCACTTCAAAAATGTCTGCATTGGAGGAGAGAAAATGAGGCAAATGTATTTGTCATTCTACCGTCCAAGTGGCATTACCATCCTGACTTGGTTGACACCGATGTAGGAAGGATAAGCGGTTGGTAGACCTTTACCTCACTCCACAAATTTACCCGCTGCATCCGTAAATAGCCTTTCATGACTCCTTTTTTCTGCATCCCAAAATGTCTTTTTTATAAACCTCCTCCCACTTGTGAATAAGAATTCTTTTTGACCTACCCAAAGTGGAAAATTAAGTCACAAATGTGTTTAATCATGCGTGGGCATTTCGCCCGCGCTATTTAAATGGGCACATTCAAAGACATGGATGCAGATTTTAGTTGAAAACATTAAGAAAGGAGGCGATAATTTGAAAAACAAATGGACTAATATATTTGGCGGTTCTGTT